CAAACCGCAGGCAACGGTGCTAGTCTTCATAAATTTCGGGATGCTCTAGAATGAATTACGGGGAGGAACGGGTTGCAAAAGAGCAATGATTGGAAGGCCGAGGAGACTTAACTGCATTAGTTGTTATCCACAGTTTAAATTTCCAACCATACAGCTGGCAATTTTCCGATTACTTTAACCAGTGCAGCATCGGCTGGTACGTAGCGTGCTGGCCATTCGTTTCGTTTTGTTGAATTTTGAGTTGCTGAACCGAAAATATCATAAAATTACTGGACACAATTTATTTAAGAGCCAGGCAGTCCTCCAGAACACATTCAAACAATCATTGATCCGGATAATCGTGTGACAATCTTGTGGATGGAACCGAAATTTCCGAATGGCGCCATTACGGTTTGTAATCTTTCAATCCCAGATTTTTTGTTCTACCAACGAACACATTATGTATATTTTAAGCTAAACAGGTCCTTTTACTGTTGATCATTTATAAAACTTAAGGGCTAAAATAATTGCTAAGAAAACTAAGACCGTCCGGACAGTGAGTTGGGTAAATTATGTGGCTGGAGATGCTCCCACAGCCGACCGCTGGTTTCCTTTGTCTTGGCTGCACAACATTCACTTGATACCTTTCGCCTGTTGCACCACTTCTACTGCTCGAGTGGTCATTTATTTTGTCACAGTTATCGTTCACAGTTGCCGTTGAAGCGAGCAGTTTTGCCCTGCCCTTCGGGTTTTACTTTCTCACGTGTCCACTGTGATATCCCGCATGCTGCTCGCCTAACAGAGAACCTGATTGTTTGTATAATGAAGAAACACGGCGTGTGAATAATGCAATTAAAGGTTCGCTTTTCTTAACATGTCTTTTTTCAGGGTTACAAGCTATACCTAACATCAGATCCGAATCAGCCGATCGACCAATGGCAAGTTTATGACATTGGTCCAGATGATGAACCAAAATTGATAATCGAGCGTGGCAGACTGCTTCCGGAAACGCCATACTACATAAAAATTGTGGCTACTGGCCCGGCAGGCATTGGAGTGCCCTCCGATATCGTAGCATTCGAAACCGTCAGTGGAGGTACCTTTCGTATCCTTATTCGTTTATCCCAGTGGTGTTTCTATTACTTTTCCTCTCGCTCTTGCTCCCTTCCCCTCTGTTTTGTTAACTGCGAGTTTTAAAAACTTTTTTAGGACCCGCAGCCAACAAAATAAAGATAGTTTTAAATCAGTAGTTTTCCATCACTTAAATATAGTGCAACCCAGAATTATAGGATCCGGCATTACTGCTCCTGGTCTGTGCGAACATCCCAGTAGCATCACTAATATGGGATCCCACACTGACTGTCCGGGAGATCTTGGTTTTTTTGGCATTTCATCATTTGTTTTAGTATGTTTGATGTCAGATTCTATATTCGTAGGCATATTAATAGTTTTCTTTTGACACATCCAGTAAAAAAAATCAGGAATTGAATCCGAAAAGAGAAGGAATCATTTACCAGTCGGATTTTTCAAAAGCCAAAGTTATGCTTGTCAAATTCATTAATATTATTTAAAATCACTTGCAGCGCCAGTTGATGCACCGACGGATGTTTTGCCAACCGTGGAAGAGGACAATACGATGGATATATCCTGGACAGGACCAAGCGTTCCAAATGGACCTATTGTGGTTAGCATCTCGAAAATGTTGCAAAAAATCCCTTCCTAGGATCAATTTTACCTTGAATTACGCTAATCTTAGGGTAAAGGAGGGGCTTATAAAGTTAAATAGGTTTGTGGATTGAGCAATAGTGCACACAAAATTAACATTTTGGAAAACATTCAACGCAATTGCTCCATTTTTTCG